CTGAATCATTAGAAAAACAATATATGACCTATAATAGCAACATACTATAACAACAGTAAAATTTATCTTCCATGGTTAAAGATTTTAAGATTATAACATGTTGGTTTTAATGGATTCAGTATTTGAACATTTAAAGTACCTCCTCAATAGACCAATCATCATGTTGACCTTTTGCTTCACCACTTTTAGGTGAACCAATTAACCCTTCCACCCTCCCACTTAATTGATCTTTTTTGTCTCCCAAAACAGATAACTCTCTCCACCCACGTTGCCCACACATCATCTCATCCATTCTACATAAAAATGAAAACTTGTTTTCATAAATAGACATGATGTGTAACAGTGTAAGTGTAACAGCTATTGACATTACAAAAAATAGGTAACCTGAGGAAAGCTTTTTGGGCAGCAGTTCCAATATCACCAGTAGAATAAGCTTCATGTTTCATCAGTTGTTGGTGAAGATACTTTGCACAGAACTTAGAGACAGACTGACCTGCAAACTACAAGGCTTAGTAGAGAAATTTCCCAAAAAGAAAACAACACATTGATTAGATTCGTTGAAATACTAACTCTGTTAATGTAGTAAAGATGTTATCAAATCAAGAATTATAAAATAAGTATACATGTGTGTTAAAGCTTGTAGTCATACCTCCATGGCCATCATAAACACCAAAGAAAGATGTTGAACAGTCCAAATCAAGATAAGCAGCATGCTACCGAACACCTCATACCAAGAAGGCAGACAAAATTCTGAGTGATCCATGTGAATAAACAGATTTTACATTGCCCAAAAATTACAGAATGACATTTGAGTATCCAAAACATTCCATCATCTTAGAGACTTTATGATCTCCAATAGTCCAACATGAACAATAGTTTTACATAACTAGAACATCATAGTGCATATTAGCTACTTACAGCATCTTCCATTGATGTACGCCATCCCTGCATGGATGACACCCCATATTTTAGGGTATCATTCTCACCATCCTGAGAAAGCTTGTCAGTTTTAGGCGTGCTTAGGTATATTCCCATATCTATCTATCTTCCTGTTGAAGGTTGCAATATCACCAAAAATACGAATAAAAATGAAAATCAGATATGAAACAGAATGCTGAGAGCATAAAATTTGATCGTATCTTGTCTCAATTAAGAATCAGAAACTAACACAATCCAAAAGTACAGATAAAACACATATACTACAGGGACAAAAATAACGATTTAAACCAAACGTACAACATCAATTAATACACTCGAATTGGTAAACGAAATCACAGATTCAAACACCTGTCCATTAGAATTTTACGCCTAATCGAAACTGTAGACTGAAACAACCAGATTTCATTTAATACACTCGAATTCTTTTAATTGAATCAACAAATGGTGTAATGAAGACAGTTAACCACATCACACGTCACTCAACATCACTCATTCAACAAACAAATCATAAATGCGCTGCATGGTTGACGAAACAATAACCGAACTATACTTAGTCCCAATCACAAATAAATAAATCTTGTAGAAAAAACCCTACCGATAACTGATGGATCAATGATTGAAAAATAAAATTAAAACATTGAGGGATGGATAACGAGCATGATTATATCATGCGAACCGAAAATCAAATCATGATATTAGATTGAGAACCGTTTCTTCGAACGATGAATGAAAGGTATTGAGAGAGATTTAGAGATAGACTTACGGTTTGCAGAAATTCGGATCATCCGTAGACAGTGTTCCGATGGGCGCCGGTGGTGGTTTGGGGGTGGGGTAGGGGGAGCATAGATAGTTACAAATGTATTTTTATAGTTCGAAAATTTGTTATAATGAAATCGTTGACGCGGCATTAAAATGGAATGTATTGGGCCGGGTGGTATGAATGTATTGGGCCTCTATTAGAAATATAAATATAAAACTCTGTTAAAAGAGAACTGTAATTTTTTTTCTATTTTGTTTTAAAGGAGGAAATTAATATTTTAAAATTTTAAAAATTATCATTTATTTTGCATTTTAGAATTCTTTTTTTTTATCTTGAAAACAAGTGGATATATAACATCTCATTTTTCACAACCATATATTTCATTTTTAGATTAAGTAAAAAACATTGTTTCCATAAAACAAAGTCAAGAAAATCAAAAGTATCCTAAAAATCAGAGCATTATAAAATGAGAATCACGAAAACTGTCGATGAGTGTGTACAATTGCATTCACCTTTCCACGATCATCTGAAGCTCCTAAAACACATTTAAATATACAACTATAAGCACAAAGCTTAGTGAGTTCCTAAAGTATCACATACAACACAACATAATAAACAACTATGGATTATCAGCAACCGTGGGACTATTAGTAGTCATGTAGTCTCATAACATCCCTATGGTTTATTAGCAACCCTGTGGATTATCAGCAGTCCTAGAGTATCAACAACTCAATAAATGCATATAAAAAACCAGCAAATAAGAATCAGTTAGTCGAGCATGTGCACCACTATGACATTGGTAACATAGTGAGAAGACTCACATCACAAAGAACAAACTAACACAAACAACTCTATGACAATGAAGACTGGTACTAAGAATCACCTAACCAACAATATAAAAATACCCTCTAAGTCTACACCCTAAAAACCATCAAGTTGACCAAAAGTCAACTTGGTCAAAAAGTCAACGATGAAAGTCAACAGCTAGCTATCACATCGTAACCACCTATTGGCCACGTCGTGGTAGCTCCACGACAGGATAGTCACGACCTAATAGATGTCATTTTATGCATCTTTTATTATAGTTTTTATTATCATTTTGTATCACATTTTATGCATTTTTGTGTGAATTAGTTTAAATGATGTTCAACTCATGTATTTTGTCAAAATTCACATATTACTCATGTTTTTATGTCATATTTAGATGTTTCGAGTGGAGCGGTACTTTAGAAGCAACTTGGATGCATATTTGGAGGTTAAAGGACCTAAAACACATTAGGAAGCTGGAATTTGAGTTAGATTTGCTGAAACTGAAGAGTTCACATAGGAAACGCGTGTTTTTGAGTTTACACAATCGAGTTTTCGGATATGTGATCTTGTTTTTGATCGTGCTTCTCTTACGAAACTTTTTCAAGCCAAAAATCAAGTTTCAAGAGTTCAAAGGACATACATGATCATGTTTTTCCATAAAACACGATTGTGTTTTGAGAAAAGTGTCCAAAATAGCATCGTACTCCATTAAACGCAAAAAAACGGGGATTTTCGGTACTTTTGTGCAAAAACACGATTGTGTTTTTTCCTAAAACACGATCATGTTTTTAAAAAAAAAATGTGTTTTTGTTGTTGGGTCGTATATAAAAACTCCCTATTTGATCAGTTTAAACCCTAGACATTCCCAAACGACCATAGACAACTTTTGGATGCAATTTCTGCTCTTTTAAATCAATTCCTGAAGATCTGAAGGCTATAGATCATCTCATTCAATTAATTTAGTAATATTAGTCATTTAATTTCTCTTTTCATTATTCTAGATCATATTTTAACCATGTCTAGGTAAACCCTAGATTTTAGTTCTGCAAGAATAGTACTTTATCAATCATTAGACTTGGTTTTTATTGTGTGATTTTATCTAGATGTTTCAGTTTAGTTTTTATCCTAATGAATGTTGATTTTAATTATTTTTAGTCCAATCACCTAATTTAGGATTAAATCAATCTAGTTAATCAGTTGTTAAAATCTGTAATTGTTTTGATAAAACTGCTAATAATTAAAAAGTGACATAATGGTTATGTGTTGGGATTTGACTTTGTTATAAACTAAAATTTTATATTTTTATGCTTCCGAGCTTGTGAGAAGTATTGAATATTGCTAGGAATTTTACATTTATTATAATGCTGCTTTTCTAACTTGATTAAGATACTGTTTAATTAAGTTAGTAAAAATTTATGATTAACTGAAGAGCTTGTTTTGGTTAATTAACTAGGTAAAAGAGAGCTTACTAGAGTTTGTTAGTAGTTTTTGATGGAATTTTAAGGTTACAAATTTAATGTACCTGCATAAATTTTCTTAACACGTAAGGGTACATGCAACCTAAGGATCTATGTCTTTATAATTCATAGCAACATACTATGAACTACAAGAAACCTTGCTATAATCGAAAATCATAAGATTATATTTACATACCTTTGTATTGTTATAACACACAATACTCTTTTGATTTCTTCCTTGAACTTCAGAAAGCAAGAACCAAAAGTATGATGCCTCTAATGGCTCACATTCAAAACCTTAGAAAACCTTAGAATGAAGAGGATAGAAAGGAGGGAAGAATAAATTTCGTTTATATACCTCTTAGGAATGTCATGAACGAAAATTGCAAGCCAAGGAGTTATATTTGTAGTTTAGATAACTTGAAGATGAATCCATACTAGTCATTAAAGATAAAAGATACTTCTATTTTTTGTATTTTAAATTCATGTAATGCGTGGAGAAAACTTCATTGAAGATGGAGTTTTATTTCATGTTATTGGTCTCCATCTCTAGTACTTTTAGTCTCTACTATATTTTAATTTTTATATTTAATATCTTAAACAATAAAATTCTATAAAATAACGATGTGTTTTTTTCCTGTTAAATCTGAAGGGTTTTTTTTTTCTTTTTTTACCAAAGTAATGTATTTTAAAAAGATTTTTACTAAAGTGGTGTGGTTTTAAAAATATTTAGCATTTATGTTAAATTTAGAAGGTAAAAGAAAAGACAAATTGAATTATCAGGATAATTATCTTTTCGTTTTGTTCACATCTTGGTAACTTTGTTTTTTCGTGCACATTTAAGTAACGCGCTTGTTAGAATTGTTCACGCATAACCATTATAACTGGCTGTAACAAGTTACAATTAGTCATATGTGAATACTTCTGATAAGTTCGTTACCTAGATATTTAAAAGAAAAAAAAAATTTACTCTGATGCTGTGACAAAACGAAAAAATAATTACAGTAAGAAGTCAGATTTCCAAAACTATTTAACGAGTATTTGTAGATCTTTTCTCGGTTGTCATTTCCATACATATTAGACTTTACATAGCAGTCCCTTTATTCATATCCATACATATTACACGTTACATAATCTCCCCTGGTAATCGTGCCTATTAAAATTCTGAAGTGACGTTACATAGTCGCCCTTTAATTCGTGTCTCTGTAAATTTATAAAGAAACGAATAAGAACATATATTCTATTATATTCTATTTTGTTTAACAAAACTATTTTAGTCTAATACATAAAAAATAAAAGTTTACATCTGCCAAATAATTAAATTCCACGTCAGCACCATTTATTAAATATTCTAGTGGTGTAAGAGGCGATAGAGAGCGACTGATCATCTTGTTTTATTTCAATGTCACTACTAAACGCCGCCATCGACTAACATCGGCCGTGTTGGGTCAGCTGGTTGTGGAGGGGTTGGTGCACTCGGGGCAACTCTACCATATATTCCTTGGTTTTCTGGATCATTTGGGTCCGGAATCGGTGGTGTTGTTGGGTCATCACGACCGTATGTTGACCAGTCCTCTACACCATCTGGGTTTAATGACGGCGGAGCTCCCCGAAAAGGCGCTACCGGTGGTGATGGTGCTTTCGGGTTATCCATACCGTAAACCGCGTCACCCTCACTCGGTCCTTCTGTAGGTGATGGCCGAGCTTTTAGATAATCCCGGCCGTATACAATCTCATCGTATGACGGAATTATTTGAGCTAGAAAATCTGTGGAAATGATAAAGTTTACAAATTCATTAGGATTTTTAGTGTTGGTCGAAAATTTTAAGCTAATAATTTGATATAAACGTAAAAGATCGTATACGTATATACCTGCTAGCTTCTTCTTGGCTACTCCGGCTCCACCATATATGGTCGGACTGTTTGAGTTTGGATTCTCTCCGCCGTAAGTTGATTGACCCCGAGATGGTGCTACTTTTGGTGGCGGTGGTGCTTTTGGGTTATCTCTACCATGATTTGTCTGACCTTCAGGAGATGGTCCTGTTGGTGAAGGTGATCCTTCCAGTTTGTCTCCGCCGTATACAGTCTGGCCTTCCGACGGTAATCTTGCTTCTGGGTTATCTCCGCCGTAAATCGTTTCCCCATCAGACGGTGCTATTTTAGGTGAAGGGCGTCCTTCCATACTGTCTCGTCCATAAACAGTCTGGCCTTGCGACGGTGGTGCATTTGGGTTATCTCGGCTGTAAGTGGTCTGTTCCTCTGACGATGAAAGTGGAGGAGGTGGTGGTGACTGGGGTTCTTCTTCACCGGTTACCATTTGAATTATCTCCGACGTCTTAGCAGGTGGTCGTCCATTAAAGCTATGGTATACACATCCATCTGAAAACAAATTAACAAAACCACCGACAATTAAGACAGAAACTAGCTAGCTAATTAGCTATAGAGGGTAATTAAGTAATGAAGCTATGAATTCGAAAAGCGGGTCAATTATTTGAATACCATGTAAATGACGAGCATGGTAAGCTCCAAGAAGAGTATAGATAGTGAAGAAGAAGAAGAAAGCGAGATTCATCACTGCCATTTTTGTCTCCTGTAAGCTCATGCAATAAAAGAAGCAAGCACGAATACTGAGGAGTGTATCGATCGCTCTATATATACATAGACATAAATACATATGTAGAATTTATTCAACGCATTTCAACATATAGATTTGACTAGAAGTGAGAATCAGTAACACAACCGCGTGTTTGAAAGTTAATTGGAATGGTGGAATCTTTCCTATTTAAAAGAGTCAAGTGGATGTAACTACCATTTTTAGTTAAAAAAATAAATACATGTGTAGATTAGATGTAAAATAAAACACAAAACAATAACAAAATAACATTCACATATCCACCTAATCTAGCCTCATATGTTTTAAGTTTTAACATGCTAATAAATCACGGTCCGTTTTTGCTAACTCTAAACTCTATTCAAATTGTAACATTACTCCCGAGAGGAAGAAAAGTTTGCTAACTTCACATCTAGAGAGGCATTTGCATGGATTGTGGACTAAAAATATTAAAAACGTACATTGATTCATAATAAAATAAATACAAACAATAGTTGGTAAAAATAGGTTTACCCTTGGGGAAAAAAAAAAAGTTTTGTCCGTTTTGAACATAAACTATGGACCTTGTATAATCTAAAGATAGATAAATAGTTGTATATTTGTGTTCTAATTTGTATCATCTTCCTTTTGGTATAAACAACGTTCAAATGATATGAGTGGTGATTGAAAAAGATGTTTAAGTGATTAAATGGGTTTTAAATTTGTCTCGTATTTGTTGGAGTGAAAATAAAATGTATTTATATGAATAAAGATTTCTAAGGATTACAAGAGCAAACAACACCAAACTCTCTTTTGTACTTGCTTAATAAAAAAAGTTCAAGTACTTTTTATGAAAATTGAAAGCATTTTTAGTTTTAAAAATGGAACTAAATAGAAAATTTTGTTTCAGTATTGTGTTCAATTTTCGATCAGTTACATTTGATTCAACAAGACTAGTTACAAATTTTAATATATAAATACAACTTTCCTGCAACTATTTTTACTCATCAAAAGACGATTTTATTCTCTTCTCCTTCTGCTAATGTGTTTCCTTGTTGCCAAGGTAAAGTTCGTGCATGGTTTGGTTCAAGCATTCTATAAGGATTATTATAGTTGTTGTATCTAAGAAACAATCGTTTGATAATGGGACAATTTTGTTTTAAAGACCCTATGTGCAGCACCTCATGTCTCAACTTCTTTCTATTCATCTAATGTTCTTTCATATATTTCTACTACACCTTCCTACAATGACTTGCCGAAAAAAAATAAGGGTGTTTGTTTGAGAAAGTTCAAGGTGTTGGAAGGATATATAACCGGATTTCATTATAATATGTTTGGCTTATTTATTTTTCCAATTCAAGTCTAATGATTAAAACAGTAAAACTTCAACTTGTATCTTTGACTTATACAATATGATTTCATTTTTCATGTCATTATTCACGATTTCGATATCATCATTTTGGTGGATTTCATTAGGGGCGAGCATTTTGGATCTGTGTATCGGATCGGACCGGACCGTTTTTTTGGACCCCCATACTGGTTCTCGGTTCTAGGATTTCAGCAAAACCGGTCCGGTTTTTTTATCGGTCTGATCCGGTCGGTTCCAGGTAAAAACCGATTCTGGACCGACTTATTTTTAAAAAAATTGTGTTTTGTAAATTATTTAAACAAACGTATCTCGTTCGTTTTAAGTCGGATTGATATGCGGCTTTTTCCAACGTGTAATTTAGAGTTTGTAGATGATTTTAAACTATAATTTTATTGTTTTTGATGTTATATTTGATGAATTGCAATATTTCAAAGTTGAAATAACGAAGCTAAAATATTTCAGCTTTTCAGTAATTATGTGAAATTCTTTAAAAAAACATATCTCATTGGTTTTAAATCGGATTAACATACGGTTCTTTCTAACGTCTAATTTATAGTTTGTAGATAACTTTAGACTATAATTTTGTTGTTTTTTTGTATTATATTCGATGAATTACAATGCTTCAAAGATGAGATGTCAAAGCTGAAATATTTCAACTTTTCAGCAAGAAATTTAAACTTTTGTATTCTGTGAAATTATATAAACAAACATATCTCATTCGTTTTAAATCGGTTTGACATGCGGTCTTTTCCAGCATGTAATTTAGAATTTGTAGATGATTTCAGACTAAAATTTTGTTGATTTTGTTGTTATATTCAATGAGTTACAATCTTTCAAAAATGAAATATCAAAGCTGAAATATTTCAGCTTTTCAACAATAAATTTAAATTTTTTTATTTAATGACATGTGCTTTTTTACACGTGGTTTTTTACAACGTGTAATTTAGAGTTTGTAGTTGATTTTAAACTATAATTTTAATGTTTTAGTGTGTAATTTAGAGTTTGTAGTTGATTTTAGACTATAATTTTGATGTTTTGGTGTTATATTCAATGAGTTACAATCCTTCAAACAAATTGTATACAGAATAAATAATCAAAGTTTGATTGGTCCAAAGGGCATAATAAACGAAAACATATTCATTTTTACGAGTTGTACCCTACTAAACCCAAAAAAGTATTCATTTTAATTAGTTGTAATATATCAAACCTAACAATCTATTCATTTTAACAAGTTGTATCAAACCCACAACGCGTTTTAACAAGTTGTACCTTATGCATATAAAGTTGTACCAGTCCAAACGGGTCTAAGAATCGGAAACCCGGACATGGACCTGGTCCCGGTAAGTCTTATATGTTTCGGTCCATGGTCCATGATATTCTCCAAAACCGGTCCAAGCCAAGAGTTGATCCGTTCTGGTCCAAATGCTCACCCCTAGATTTAATCTCTTGTAGTCTTATGCCATTCATTAGGAAGCTAGGGTCAATCGAACTCAAACCTTGCTTTTCCTACTTAAATATTATATAATGAAACAAGTTAAGTTGTAGCTTTCTATCAAACAAATATATATCATAAATTACTTAATATAAAGTTAAGGCACACTCTAAATCATCTACTTAGGTTGAGATAGGTTGTTGTTTGAACTTATAGATTTGTTAGATTTTAAAAGGCCGGCTTATTACAAAGTTTGTCATCAGCAAATTCTAAAAATTAGATTGTAACATTTGTATTAATCTCGACTAGGGTCGCTCATGAGGATTTAAATGTTTCGGACGATCCGAAAAAAAAGACCCTTATGTCCTAACGTGTAACGAATTAAATTATATAAACTAAAGTATTTTTAAAACGACGATAAACTTTATAGAAATAAACATATCAAAATCATAGTATTTTAAACAAAAGTTTAATTAGTTTCCACAAACTAACAAAGATAAGAAGATATAATTATTTCATTTTTGAACTTAAGAATGAGTTATCAGTAAGAATTCTTCAAGACATTAGGGACATGGAACGTATAAAACAATGTTAGTTGAGTTTATGTAAATTGCACCTCATTTTTTTATTTATAAAAACATTATTTAACATATTTAAGCAACGAAATACTTATTTAATGTAATGAAAACGTCACTAGTATTACTTTCAAAAACAAACCATCAAAATTTAAAGTTGCAAACCGGTACAAAAACAAGTACTAAAACCAAGTATAAATGAAACATCACGACATGTCTCAAATTGGTATCATCTCTAAATAACATAATAATAACTATCCAAAAGTCTCAACCTCACCATGCCATCAATATCAAGTTACATGTAGTAATGCAAGTCACAATAACAAGCTGTTTAGTCATACAATCAAATCATATCATTCAGCAATCATCACTTATTATTATTATTATTATTATTATTATTATTATTATATATTGCATATATTATTTTGGACATTCTTTCATCATTGTAATTATTTTACGTGTTCATTGTTGTAATTACTTTTAATGTCCCTCGCTACATGGATCCAAAACATCGCTAAAATTCCCAAAGAAAGACCTCGTTCGCTACTAACATGACTTGGCAACCCAATACACCAAATAGGGTGTAACTCCACCTGTAACACTATCCCTGGTTCTCCATGTTCACTACTCCGAAATTGCATGTACAAACACTATGTGTTGTTGTTCGAGGGTGATACAATGGCACTTCCAAACATATACCCCCACCCTAACGTGATGCTTGATCTGACTTCTCCAAGTAGCCAGCATCACTACATTCCTCGTTCACCAACGTGCACCGAAACCATGTTTCGAAATGGTTATCTAGAAAACCACTCTAGTTGCTGGTTGACAGATTCCCGAACTGTCAACATCAAAATAACACCCATGTAATAATTGGGTTCCAACACATAACCATAGTTCCATGCTTAGGGTAGAAGACTATTTTACCCCCTACTTAGCTTGTTTCAAGCCCAAGGCCCAAATTCACACCATGAAGGCCCAAAAGCCAAATAAAAAACCAAGGCCCAATTATGGCCCAATTTTCCAAATTAGGACCAAACCCTTCGCATGGGCCTTACTCTAAAGCACATCTAACTTCCCTAATCCATATAGTTGTTAAAAATTGGCCCATCAAGAGTCCAAACATCTAGGCCCAACTCAAAACCAAACACAATTAGGATTTTCACATGAAATGACGATTATGGTTAATTAGAAAACACTTAACTCATTAAGGACTTAATCCATTAAGTCCATCAATCTACTAGCTCAATCATACAGTGTGGTCGGGCTTAATTCATAATTCTAATTCAGTCGTCCAAAATGTGGGTCCCGACAAGTCCAAATTAAAATCTCCAAGATTAGGGTTTTCTGAACGCTACTTAGGGTTCCAAACCAAAACACGCTAATTAGGACTAAAAGCTAAGTCTTTAGATAAATTAGGGTTTCATTAGGTCAACTAGGGTTCCATTAGGCCGGACACCACCCATTGCCACCTCGAGCAGTGGTGGTCGATGGTGGCACACGACGGCAGCCACAACCTCACGGTGGTGGTTATGATTCTAGTCCAACAATGTCCAAGAATCCCAAAAGCAATCCAATCACACGCAATGCAAACCGCCACCCAACACGGCAGCTGGTGGTGGCAGAAGGCGAAAGGCACCACCTCACGGTGGTGGGTTTTTCCTTGATTAATTGATCCAAAGAAATACATACAATATTCTACTCATAAAATACACTCTCAAACACCAAGACATGCACAAAACCACCACCACCACATGGTCGCTGGTGGTGGCAGAACAGTGGATACTCATGGCGGCAGCCACCATGGTTGGCATGCGAATAAACACGATACAAAAACACACCTACTCGCGAGCACACCCCTAAACATGAACTCAACCGATACCTCCTAATGGTGGTAAAACTTCGACCGGAAAACTGAATGGAATGTTACTCGAACGGCGGCAACGACGGCGACTGACTGCTGCGGAATAACGTCAGGAGCGAGTGCAGCTGGGACAACGTCGGCGACCACCATGAACGGCTACGAATGGTGACAGAAAAGAAGGAGAATAAGAAAAGTGAAGGTGTGGCGGCAACAGTCGTCAACTCCTCGCCTTCGTCGGCAGCGGAACGACAATAGTAGCACTCGACCGGTTGTTCCCGACTACGGTGGCGGCTGAGGGACGAGGTTAGCGGCTGGTGAATATGTTGTGTTAGGGTTTAGACGATGAGAAGGGACATCAGGTATATCCCATGTTTTTTTTTCAAACATTGGTCCTTTTTTCCAAGATTAGTCCCTCCTCATAATATCTTTTTCAATTTAAATCCAAAATTTACCATTTAGCCCCTGCCTCCATAATTCCTTTCATAATAAGTCCTAATAATTACCAAGCTGCCCCTGTCTTTAAAAATCCTTTCAAATAAAACCTATAATTTACTAAACATCCCTCATCCCTCAACCTTCAAAATTCTTTACAAATTAATCCGGAAATTCCATTTTAGCCCCCAAACTCTTAATTATGACCTTTTAGCCCCTAAAACCAACGTCTTGCTAAATTATTCCGCATTTATGGCTACTATTCATTTATTAATTTTATCTATTTATTTATTTAATAAACGAAATGTTACGGTATGACAACTAACCGAGGGTGAACAAATTCGAGCACCACAACTAAAGAATATTTCCTTTTGTTTTGCAAAGAGCTTAAGATGGATATATTATGTTTTCCAAAACTAATTTTTTTAATAATGGAAAATTTTCCAAACAAATGGTTTGTAAACCATAACCATTAACAATACTAATAGTTAAAAATAACATAACATTGTCAATTACATTACGGTGCCTTCAAAAAATATCAAATAAGCAATTTCTAAATTATTTAATTGTAACGTTAAAAAGTAACATTAAATCGAGAATTATACTCAGTTTTATTCATAAGTCAGTTCTGAGAATGGTCATTAAATGATATAATTTTAATAGAAGTTATACCATGATACAAAATAATTATCATTTTGAATAACAAATTGGTGTAAGAAACTATTATTTTATAGTTAGAATTAATAATATAATTAATTTCAACATGTATTTGCCAACTTTTAATTATATATATTTTTTTCTACAAAAGACGCGGATATTCGGTTATTATATATATATGGTGATGTTCAATATAGAACATAATTAACCAATGAACCAAGGAACCAATCTATTTTTCAACTTTTAGAACTTATTTTTTTTATAAAAAAAAGTAAAAATACAAAAATTCATAACTTTTTATCATTTTTCCAATGATATCAAATTCAATAAAAAAAATTCGTCAAGTTCACAATGTAAATCTTTGAAAATTCACAATGTGAATCTAAATTCACACGGTGAATCCGAAAAATATATTTAACATTCACAATGTTAAGTTAAGAATTTAGATATTTTTAGTTTTTTTCGATAAAAAATAAACTCTAGAACTTGAAAAAAATATATTTGGTTCATTGGAAAACCAATAATTATGGTTCTCTATTTAACTTTTATATATATATATATATATATATATATATATATATATATATATATATATATATATACACACACACAGAGAGAGAGAGAGAGAGAGAGAGGAATGATCATTTAAGAACTCATAGTTTCCCGAGAATCCGAGAACTAAAAGTGGAGTGTTTGATCAAAAAAATAGATGGTCATGATGCATTGTGGCATTTTTGTAAATAAATAGAAAAATAAAGGGACGGGGGCATTAAAAATAAATGGTATGAAGGGCATTTTAGGGTTAAAGAAATTACTCAGTATACACGACTTCTAGTCACAATTCCTCATCAGATCTCTCTCATTCGCCTCTCACACATCTCGACTGTATCTTTGCCCTTCCATCGATCGTCTTCGTCCTCCATTAATCGACTGCCTTTATCTCCGTCGACGATCATCTACCGAAGAATTGGCCAGTCACAACGATCTTCCCCAAATGATTCCCACCTTCTCCGATTCTAGATTCGCAATTCCGCCTCCCCCACAACCGACGCCGACGAGTTGACTTTTCAACACTGCATCTAGGTCATTATCAGAGACCACCACCTACATCGACCATCTCCCTCGGCCATTATAAAAAACAAAGAAGAAGCAGAGAGTTCAAGCCCTAATTGATCAGTTAGGACTCCGAAATTATGCCAAAAACAATCATCGATGACGAAGGACATCAGGGAGTCTCAGGCGGAGAACGACGTCGCGTTTCCATTGGAGTAGACATCATTTTTGTATTCGATTATGGTGTCACATCCATCTCTCTTGTCTGCTAACACAACCAGCACCATACGTTCCCTGACATCCAAGCAGAAAAACTCCAACTGCACTTGTCCTAAAAGCTTCTTCCGTCATCGGATTCTCCCCTAAAATCGCTAATGTACTCGGAGATGTCAACATCTTCACCGCTTCCGAAGACTCTGTCGCCTTTAATCAACTATGGGATCAATCTGAGGTAATTACCTACTTTCATATCTCTTTGAATCATCCGTGCACATTGTGCCACAATGCTCCATGGATCTTAGCAATTGCTAAAAGCAAAAGATCACTAGAAAAATTATTTGTGCTTTTGGACATGTATGAGATAATGCATGAACTTCACAATGAGGTATATGAATATGAATATGATTATGTTCTTACTTCTTATTATTATAACAATTACTTAATATTTTTAAATATTTTCACATTGAGTCGCTTTTCAGAGGTAAAGCTTGCAAAGATATTAGAGAATCAGTTGTAGGGTTAACAAAGAGACTCGCACAAACAGCTCAAGAAACATTTGGGGATTTCGAAGAAGCTGTTGAAAAAGATGCAACAAAAACAGTTGTCTCAGATGGAACATTTCATCCTCTCACAAGCTATGTCATCAACTCTGTGAAATTTTTATTTGAGTATGTCAAATTTCGATTTTACCCTTACCAAATATACACTATCAGGAACCTGAAAAGAAACACTTTCTTACATAACTTAAAATTGGTTCAGCTAGCAGTCGACATTGAAGCAATTGATGATCAATCTGAGGTAATAACTGGAGAAAGGAATTAACATAAAAAAGAAGTATGTTTGTTGAAGGGATCTTAGCAATTAATGCAAGTCTGATTAGTATATTTTCAGCTATATTTTGATCGATTACTCTATCTGGTATCTTTTGTAAGTGCTTGTATTCCAAATCATTATAGACAAAAAAGGATTTACATTAGCAGGAAATGAATTTATATTAACAGGAAAATGTCCCAAACTTAGTTAAACAACACACAATCATAGATTGAGGCAAACTTCATTGATTTTGACATGGTGGAACGTGGTTTTGTCAAATTTCAACTTATTTGATTATTTGATTTGATACTAATCCTAGAAATCTGTTACAAATGACATTTCTGCATCTGAACTTTTATCAACAGAGGCAATATGCAAATATATAGTATTATTTAATTTGTTTTTGATTATTTATTTGAAAAATATTTTTTTTCAAAATAACATTGTTTATGGTAGGCTCTAGAAATAGAAATCACCCCAGCTCCAAATGCAATACTATCTCCAGAATCAATAAACAACCTGGAATGTGCAGGTATATAGGTACTAACGTGGTATCTATACATGTACATATTTTTTTCACATACTAACTCGGTGATTCACTTGTGATTCAAATATGAATTACATGTGATTCATATGTAAATCACATATGAATTATATGTGATTTACACGAAATTCACATATGAATTACATGTGATACACATGTAAATCACATATGAATTAAATGTGATTCACATTTGAATTACATGCGATTCACATGTAATTCACACATGAATTACATGTGATTCACATGTAATTCACATATGAATTATATTTGATTCACATGTAAATCACATATGTATTTTTGTGAGTGTTTTTGCATCAATCAGATTTTTTTTTAATTTTCTTGTAGATTTTGGAAGAAATTGTGGTGAATATTGAAGAGGTGGAAAATTATAAATTGAAGAAAATATGGAAATATTGATACGAAGACATGAAAATGTTTTGAAATTTTGTACCATTTTTTTGTTTTTTATATTTTATATTGTATCGAATAAAATACTTATTGTATTGTGTTTATAAATTAGTAAACAAAATGAATTTTCTTATGATTTTCTTACAAATATTATAGTATATGAAATATGCATATACGCATTTGTAAAAATATGCATAAATGTATCAAAAATATTGATTTTTTTGGTTAAAAAAATCATAGTATTTTTTAAATATTCCAGTTTTTTTATTGGGTTTTAAATGTTTTTTAAAAAATGCAGTTTTTTCTATAAAAAAATATTTTTTTCAATTTTTTTTTTCAAAAATTCATGTTTTCTATAAAAAAAAACTAAAAAAATCTGCACTTTTTGTTTAAAAACTAAAAAAATACTATTTTTTAAAAAATCTTGAATGATTTAAGATGACACGATTACAAGTATTTGGTATTTTCATTTTGGTGTCTATGATCTTCAGATTGATGGAATTCATTCACATAATGGATGATGTCCTAAAGAGGATTTTTTTTAAAAGAGAAAAATAATACGTAATTACCTCTTTCTCTTTCTCTTTCTCTTTCTCTCTCTCTCTCTCTCTCTCTCTCTCTCTATATATATATATATATATATATATATATATATATATATATATATATATATATATATATATATATTATATATATAATCATGCCTCACGTGAAATTAGAACACATGACTTTCCTTCATCAAGTTTTCATACTTAAGTCATATCTATCAAATTGTTATGATTAAGAATAACGACATATTTTGCAATTATGACAAAGTATATATATATATATATATATATATATATATATTATATATATATATATATATATATATATTATATATATATATATATATATATAGAGAGAGAGAGAGAGAGAGAGAGAGAGAGAGAGAGAGGTAAATAAGTATTATTTTTCTCTTTTAAAAAAAATCCTCTTTAGGATATCATCCATTAGGGGTGTAAACGAGCCGAGCCCGAGCCTAACCAAGCTCGAGCTCGGCTCGTTAAATTTTGAAGAAGTTCGAGCTCGAGCTCGATTCGAGCCTTAAAATGAAGCTTGAGCTCGGCTCGTGAACAATTTAGTGAGCTCGCGAGCTTATACGAGCCTCTCTCTCTCTCTCTCTCTCTCTCTATATATATATATATATATATATATATATATATATATATATATATATATATATATATATATATATATATATATATATATATATATATATATATGCTCGTTTAGGTTCATTTAGGCTCGCGAGCCCACTAGCTAAAGCTCGATTCGAGCTCGTTTAATAAATGAGCCTCATATTTGGGCTCGAGCTCGGCTCGGGCTCGTTTAATTCGATCTCGAGTCGAGCTTTTAACGAGTCGATCCCGAGTAGCTTGCGAGTAGCTCGGTTCACTTACACCCCTATCATTCATTATGTGAATGAATTTCATCAATTGGAAGATGATTATAGACACCAGAATGGAAATACCAAATACTTGTAAACATGTCATCTTAAATCATTCAAGACTCTTAAGTTGTATAAATTGATTCAATTTTAACACGTCAATTTTTGGGCTTGCCTTATTGGTAGGTCAACTTACTAGTATTTATATCATTTGAATTCTTTTAGCCTAATTTATTAGAAAGTCATTGGGCACAAAGCAATAAAATCTCTCTCTCTCTCTCTCTCTCTCTCTCTCTCTCTCTCTCTCTCTCTCTCTCTCTCTCTCTCTCCTTGTGTTCACACTTGGGCATAGATGATCAACATGTTCGTATGAACCACATAAGTTGATTGAGTTTATTTTCGTTGTACATTATTATTACCTTGTATGAAATTGTCTATCATTTAATGAAATGCTTAAATCCTAACAAAAACAAGATTTGTTCCTATCACATAAATGTTAACATTCTTCGTAATTTCATGGAATTTGTTTTTTTTACCTGAAGTTAATGATTAGTTGGGCAATTAAATCAACGTAATCCTACTCTAATAAAAGACTACCATTTATGCCACGTGTCGTTTGCTCAGCCATTCCTAAGCTTATTTTCCCGCTCATTTTCCTTCTAGTGTAATTACTAAACTATCCTTTTATAGATTCAAATTGGCCGGCCCTTATAATCTGCATTAATCAATCCCGTTAAATTTGCAACAAATTGATCGACTAACTATAATATATGCGTAAAGATACCTAATTTTGCGTTTGCATTTCCAAAATCAAATCAAACAATCATATTCGCTCATCGGTTTAACCTATTCACTCCATTATTTACGCTCAAATTATCTATGCGATGAAACTTGATCCCAGTATACATGATCGTGAAAAATCAGGGACGGAATCACAAGAAATCACATACATATCTTCTTACTTTCTCTCTCACGAACACCTGATAATTTTTCTTCTCTCTTCTGTTGCTCCTAATTTGAATTGATTTATTGGTGCAGGTATCTAAGTAATTTGAAGAAGTTTGGTCCCGATAGGAGATTACATCAAATCGTCGTTGAAACAAACAGATCGCAAGGTTACAATTTTTCCTTCATTACCGCTACCTTATCGCAACTCTATCTCCAATTTTTTCAAATTCCGATTTCTTCTCCACGTTCCCTTATTGCAGGAGGCAGGCGATGGCGATGGTTCGGTTATATTGTCGTCTTATGATTCTGGTCTCATCAATTGGTTTAACATGTACGGATGTTAACGATGGTGGATTCACTTTGAGAATTTATGGTTCACGATTTCTTCTTATTAAGGTTCTTAATTCATGGTATTCAATTTTATTTTTTCTGTTCTATGTTTCTAATTTACAAGGTCTTTTTACATTAAAATTTGCTCCTTTGTTGTTTGAGTTCTTGGGAAAAAGTTAAGGACAAACTTTGATTTAACCTAATTTCTTTCCAAGAGACATTTTCATGATATTCTTAAAATAAATGAGAATTTTTGTATGGAAGCATAACAAAATCGGTTGTATTCTCCTTTACCCTCCACTAATTGTTGATGAACTCATTTATCTAACACCTGATACCTCCCCTTCTCAACACACCGATGAACAAGGTAATCTATATCATCCTTTCATATTCTTTTTGAAAAAAAAAACAATTTTGAGCCCTTGTGTATGTTAATTTGTTTTTTTTTATAGAATTCTTTGCTTAAAGATGCATTGGATTCTCTTTGGTTTACTAATTCAAATTTTATGTGATTCTGTTCTTTGGCCAATAGGTAACATGTTTGTTGGTGATTTAACTTTTAGTTCTTTTTTTACTACGGTTCAAGTGTATAGGGTGAGACAATTATTCCTTTCAGTTGTGCATTGGAACAGAATCTTGTTGATCTTCCAGAAGATCAAGCAGAGAAATATTGTGAGGAAATCTCTTTATTTTAGGTATAAATTCTCGGTTAAAACCCAAAGGACGTTTTTTTTTTTTTTTGGTTTAGAATTCCATGGATAATGGACTTATATCCTGCCTTGCAAAATGACTCATTTGATTGCTAAACACCCCATCTTTCAGTTTTTTCAAATATGAAGGCATACCTATTCTGCTTGGTTTCAATTTCAGCTTACACCAAAAACTTTCAAACATGAACTGTTTTGTTCATTTTGTATAAAATTGTTTTCGATAATGTCAGTCAATCTCTCATCTTAAATTAGGTTTATTTTGAGTTGACATTGAGCTATTTTTAGTTGGTTTTTTACCTCAACACACGAGATGAGGAGGCCCATGGCCTTGGTGCTGTCATAGTATAGCCTCTTTAACATACGGATGCTAACTATGGATGATAAAAATGGTGACATTGTTTAGAAACCCGTTTCTCTAACTCCATTTTGCTAAGACTCACACTCATGTGTCATTAATTACTAACAATTTAGAATGGGTGAATAGTAACTTTTGGGTGTTTCTTTTTGAATTAATAGAAAAAGGCTCAAACTTTAAAAGTGGAAGGATGGAGGGTGTATGTATTCAGACCCTAAGCTATGTTAGAAAGTATATATACAGAGTATAAGAGGTCATCAGCTAGATACAAACAGGGTAATAATTTGCGTGATGCTATGAATTCATATAACTAAGATTAAGTTACATTTTGAGGCCTTCACGCATAAATCGATTTGCATTAACATATTTGAACAAACAGGGACGGAAATTTTGACATCAATCTTATTCCATAAATTATATTAGCTAATTGGAGAATAAATGTTGAAAAGAACTGTTATCAATTTAACAAACAGTTCTCTTTTTTTCTCCATTAAATGTTATCTAAATCCTGACGTTGGTTAGAAGAGAATGAAGTTGTATCTCTTGGAAAGCATATTGAACAAGGTAGGTTCTCTTATACATCAGTAGCCTACTTTTGCAGCAAATTAACCCTTAATCTAGGATAAATCTAAGATTTTTTCATCATCTTGAAGGACATCTTCAATAATTTTCAGTTATCTCATTAGGAAGCTTGTTTATTGTTTGTGTTGGAATATTTTATGATGTTTTTTTGTTTTCTGATTATTTGTTTGGTTATTGTCTTTATATTATTCAACAGCTCAGATGGCTATTGCAAATGGTGGAGATTGGCAAAAGGAAGTCTATCAAAAAGATGTTGCATATGAAAGTAGATTTGTGTAAGTTTTGCCATATGTTATGGTCCAACATTATGTAGATTTACTTAAAATTTTGTTGTATTGCTAGCTAAGTTTTGTAGTTGTATCTTTGCAAGTAAATGATGATAAAGTAAAGTCTGTACTTGAGCTGATGGTGGCCGTGTTATAGAAAGCATGAATTATCATAGTTAAGATGAATGTGTGATGTCGAAGTAATTTAGTATGATCAAAATGATTTAACTTAACGACTTAGATGTTAAAGTTATTAAATCAACATTTTCTCCATACCATGGTTTAGTCTATACAAAATTTGATCATAGTGGAAGTTAGTTAGCAGTATGAGGTGCCAGCATAAAGTACTTGGATTATATCTCATACTACACCTGAAGGGTATTTTGGTCATTTCACATTAACATTTTAACATGTATGATTTGTTTAATTGTTACACTCAACTACTTAGCCATCGGTATTATATCTATTTTCAATTACGAATATTATGAATTATGTTCAATTATGAATATTAGAAATGTATTTTTACGGTATTATACGGATTTTGACCATCAAAATTCATTTTATTTTCTAACCGTGGTTCCCACGGGTTATAACCTAGTAACTATATGTATATAAACATAAAATATTAATATTACATGACCTTAACGGCCAAAATAGAAACAATATTAACACCAAAGACTAGATGCAAATCCGAGTGAAAAAAACCTTTTGAGACAATTTCCGTAACTTTGAAGAAAACACTTGGACAATGAATGTAAATCCTTAAACAAAAAAAGTACTAGGGTAAATCCAACTTTTCTTGAGCCGTACTATAAAAACAAAAAAACAGGGTCGCAAACAAATGCAAAGGTTGCCTTTTATAGAAGTTTGGCTTTTTATCGAGTTGTTTGAGCTCAAAATTTATGAAGTTCGAGTACAACAAAAAACTCAAAACATATAACAAGTTGATTGTAAGGTTTCAATTGCTTGATTCAACTTGTTAACAAGCTGTTGAAGTTCTACGTAATTTGTAAATGTAAAGGATTATATATATATATATATATATATATATATATATATATATATATATATATATTATATATATAATATATATATATATATATATGAAAGTTTTTGAGAGCAGTAATCATGGCCCATAAGAGGTAAGTTGGTATTACTTTTAAGAATGGCGTGAACTCCTTGATAGAAATGGTGATTCGGGAATTTCCATTATTAACATATTTCAATAGCAATAAATCATCAATACCACACATGAATTGTAAATATATGAATGTGATGTACCAAAGTTATACAAATATTTTAGATGCATAGTAAACTATATATGATTATTGGTCCTTTTACTTGATGCAGAAGAATGACTTAATTAACAAGGTCACGAAAAGGAACTCCTCATTTAGTCATATGTCTTCACAAATTTTCCGTTATTAATTTTTTTAATTCCATTTCTCTAGGTGTGTTATAAATTTCTCAAATGTTATTTAAGGATACAAGCTAGACAGACCAATGTACTCTTGTTCATTTGTTTATTTTGTAATTCTACTTTGATGTATTTCTACTAATCTGCAAAAATTAAAAACATTTTTCAATTAGAATAAAAATAATAGTTCACATTCTTTATGAAACTATAAAACCCCAACGAAAGTTTAGCTTTAAATAAAAAACTTTTAAGTTCAATGGTTGCTTTACATAAAAGTGCTTGTTCCCTCAAACATGTATTCTAGGAAATATTTCTTATTTCATATTTGAACGTATTTTTCTAAGATTTTACTTGTCATGTTCACACTTGTAAAATAACTACTAATTTTGTATTTAGAAAATATTAGCTACGGCCCAAATCATGCATATTGACTTGAAGAATGTCATCGTTCTTCCTGTCTAAATCATTAGTGGTTGGTGGAATATTTGTTTTATTT